AAACAAATGTTGGGATTTTAAGGTATGAATAAGCTACTTGTGAAGATTGCATTGTAATAGTAACTCAATTTTGTTTCATCATCAAAAACTATATTCCCATGTTTTCTCTGCCAAAAGACATAAGAAACAGATACAACAAGGTCCGTAGATTTAACATGAACAAAATCATGATGAATTCAGCAGGGTTGACCTTGAGAATTCTGAGGTTCCTAAGTAACTAATTATTATGAGGCCCTATAATTTTTTTTTTTTTATTATTATTATTATTATTATTATTATTATTTTTTACATGTGTGTGTGTATAAAAGACTTTTTATAGTCTAAAAGCTAGAATTGCAAAATAAAAGCCTGGTAGCCATTTTTACTCCCCCTCTTCATTCAAACTGTCCAAAAACTCCCAGATGCCTATACTAATTCTATTACCTCTCTACCCGTGTCTTAGATTTCAAGCCCATCTTTAAAATGTTCCTACTGGTGATAATTCATCAATTGTTAAAACCTATTTTCTTGACCACACGGTTTGAATGAACCAGGTTTTCCTTGTATTCTTCCTACCCTTTATAACATTACCAAACAAAGGGCATAAAGCATATTGTACCAATCCCATATTCATGTTATATAGCATTAATCATTTTAAGCAGTCGAAGAAAAATCTTTAATTACAAGCCCAAACCAATTATTTGAGCATCACTCAAAGGCTTAAAAAACCTTAAAACTAGATATAGTTTTCTATCTTTCCAGTAGCAAATAATTCTTTCAAGAATTCAGAGATTTGTCCAAATGTGCACTTTCTTCAAATTTCTAAGTATAACAAGAAAGTCCAGTACACAAATTATTTTATTTCATTAAAGAAAAGGATATTCCAATGAGGTTTCACAGAACAATATCAAACAAAAGAGAAACCAACAAGCACACATAAAATTCAATAAATAAGAAACTCATACAAATGCAAAAGGAAGAAAAAAAAAAACAAAGGGGAAAAAAAAAAAAAAAGCCTAAATAATTAGCCAAAAGTTTGCCCTTAAATTGCACACATATGTAAAAGCAGAAATTAGCCAAAAGCATTTTGCATCTGCTAAAATCGGATGAAAATCCCATTATTTGGAAGACAAAATTACAAAAAGAAAGTAGGATCTTGTATTGAATTTTGCTGCAAGTACAAATTTGGATTGAAGTGAATTTCTGACGTCTTCTCTAATCTCTTCCAACCTGGGGCTTATTTCGAGCAACCAGGTGAATTTTGGAAGGGTACTTTTAAAAATGGTATTGTCAAACAATTGAAATTGCACTTTGACTTGCTGGATTGTTAATATTATCACAATGATCTATTGAGTAATTAAAAAAATGTACTTAAGTACATTATACAATTACAAAAGATAGTTTTGTTTAAAAGGCATTACTACCCTTTAGTTAACAATTACAAATCAAACACTTCCCTCTTAAAATATCAAAATCAGCAAACTTTTATTATCTGTTTACTCCAACACAGATAAAAACACTCTCATCTTTCATCTGCTCCAACCTAAAAAATTGAAAAATTTATCGAACGCGGTAACTGAAAATTCTTTTATATCAATCTCATCAAATCGGTAAGTATAAAGTACGCACATTTAATTTTGTTTCTGTTAAATTATTGTACATTTTAATCGATAAAACTTATTTCGACATATAATGTTAATGTAGATAATTTTTTTAATAGATCTGTGCAAAATTTAAGCATTTGGTGAGGAAAAATTCATCTGTATAAAATGTTGGTGATTGTAATCGACCAAACAGTCGACTTTTAAAAGCTGACTGTTTATATAACAGTTGATATTTTTATTGCAGTTGATATTTTTCTTGCAATAAAAAATTCTGTTTCATCATGCAGATATGGTTGTAGTCCCAATTTATTACTTTGGTGATTTTGAATTGGACGAAAGAGAATGATGAGTATGAAAATAGACGAGCGATAAATATAATGATATCCTAATTTTCATAACATCAAGTACATCATATGCAAAACTCTATTATATTTATAAAACAAGTTCAATGTTGATCTCTCTCAGTATGACATGGAACTGAAATTTAAATTCAGCAAGCAAGATATTCCGATTCCACCTATGATGATTTCTTCTAATGCCAAAGTGAATTATCTGTTTGAATTGAATAATAAGCATACGACTCCTCTTTGGGTGACTTTAGGGAGAAAGGACGTCGTCGAAGGTGAACAAGTAGACTCGGATGGAGGGAATCACAATGCTAATGATTTTTCGGATATGGTCCAGATAGCTTGTGAAGATGATATGTTTATTCTAGAGACGATTACGTATAGAATTCCCTCCGTAGTTCACGACAACGAGTGTGAAAATGCAAATACTTTTACAAATGAGAATTTGATCGCTTTATCCCGACAAAGACATGAGGGAGTTGGGACCTCAGGGGCTGGATCGAATGGATCGTTCTCTAAGTTCTCGCGTGTGGTTCCTGATAGTGATGATTTATATATCGAGCAATTGTTTGAAATGAAAAAAGATTTGCAAGAAGCTGTGCACCTAATTACACTGAAATACAATTTTGAGTTTAAAGTGAAAAATCGATCAAGTCGTTATTGACAATCGCCTGCGTAGATGACAATTGCTGTTGGCGTTTGCGAGCGACAAAGATGAACACAAATGAGTGCTTTGTAGTTCGCAAGTATACACGGGAACATACTTTTTAAGTGGGATTACGTCGAAATGATCACAGGCGAGCCCGAGCTTGATTTATTGGTCGACGGCTAATGCACAAGTATCAGGATCCACGTATGATCTACAGACCATCGGATATCATTAACGACATCCATAGATAGTACGGAGTAGTCTTAGACTACCAAATGGCCTAAAAGGCCAAAGAATGAGCGTTTGAGGATTTAATGGGCTTTGCAGAGGAAAGCTATGTTAAATTGGCTAGGTATTGCCATAACATGGAGAAAACTAATCATAGCTCGTCATTTTTTATTGAGATGGAGGGTGAGAATTGCTTCAAATTCTTCTTCATGGCTCTTAGATAATGCATTCGGGGATTTCGAAATGATATGCGACCCCGTATTCGCGGTGGCTATGTATCGAAAATTTGCAGCGAGAACATTGTACTGTCATTATTACACAACTAATTATTAGAGAGTTGCGTATGCTAAAACAATATTTCCTCTACCGAAAGAAATCGAGTGGGAAGTTTTCAACCATATTCGCCACTCAAAACATTGTCGCCACCTCTTATTGAACCGAGTAGTCTTGGACGTTCAAATACGTCTAGAATACCATCTACCGAAAAATTTCCTCAACCGCATAGGTGCAACAGGTACAAATCAGTAGGACATACTCGTCAATATTATATAAGTCAAGTTCCTCTAAATGACAGTTAGACCATTTTGTAATATTGCTGATTTGAAATAAATAGTATTTATATTTATTTTACGATATTTCAAACTACGTCGTAATTTAATAAGCAATTGTTTCATATGATAAAAAAAATTCAATGTACTAAGAATAATAATTTCGAAAATTGTACATACATTGTAAAAAATTTAAATTACAAATAACGTGGAGAATATTTACAAAATAAATACCAACAAAGAATAATTACAATGAATAATTACAATAAATTTATGGATTACCATTAAAGTCGTATAAGTCGCATGCCCACTATGTATCCAAAATTGGTTGATTTTATCAACCTTATGTGCTATACAAAAAAATTCAATGTACTTAATTGCAAAAATGCCACAGTAGCCCCTGCAAATGAACAAGAATTGTTAGTTCAGTTCCAATTACGTAAAAACTAATTTATAATTTTAAAAATAAATTTACAAACACTTACGATATGGACTGTCTCGCAGTTGTCGTGTCCCGCACGATGGCTAGTCTTTCCTGCAAAGTTAAGCCCGTTTGTCTAGCCATCAGAGGAACAATCACAACCACTGGCTTTAAGTTCAGCTAGAGTTGTCACTATGTCAGACATAAGTGATTGGGGTCATACACATATATCGTCGAGTTAGCTACACAATCTTCAGAGTAATGCAGTGATGATTCACGATTACTGGAATGTACATATGCGTACAACCCTCCCATGGTTTTCCCTCGATGACCCACTCAAGCATATACTTGGGCACCATGTACTCGTTACCTATAAGCTGGAGCGACTGGTACTCGATGGTAACGGCACAAAAGAACTTGATGTTAAGTATTATTTGGCCAGGAATGTGGAACGATCGTGGATATCTCTCAGCTCGATCGTACAACAAGTCCATGACAGGTCAATGTACTACATCAAGGAAAACAAAAAAAAAGGAAGTTATTTAATTTAATAAACCAAACCAAACATAATGCATAAAAAATTAACAATAGCACTACATACATTATCGATGAACCAAGACCTCTGAAGGGTAATATCATGGAACCACTTGTACGCGTCAGATATCGTCCTTCGAGTTATCTGGCGGCTGGCTCTGAAAAAATAGAAAAAATATTAAACGAAGTATATACGAGTTATTGTAGTATACTAAAATCATACAATACTTACCCTGACAATATTTTTGCCATTTAGTCTCGAATGCTTTTCATTTAGCATGGCCGACCTCTCGGAACAGATTGGGGTACGTTCTATCGACGAACCTCCTCCTCTTCGGCTTAGCCGTGAAAGGAGAGACGATATACTGTAATGGCACTCTTGATCTCTTGCCTACCACCAGCTCCAGCACGTCAATAGCACGTTTTTCGCCTCAATCGTAGCGGTCGTCCTCCTCTCATCCATCTCGGGGATCGCCACAACCTCCTCCCCGACGACTGCCACCTTGTCCAAGCTTCCCTCCTCCTCCGCCACCATCGCCACCCCGTCTTCGACCACCACTCCCGTCCCCGACGCGGCCACCCCCATCCTTAACCATCACTTTCGTCCCCGACAGGGCCACCCCTTCCTCCGCCCCCATCGCCACCTCCCCATCCATCATCGCCCTCATCCCCAACGAGGTCATCCGCTCCCACTCTATGGACTTTAAAAAGGATTCCAATATATCCTCTAACCACGACTGCTGGTGACCCCATTTCTATCCTCCTCTCGATTACTACCCCGGTCGCCACCTTCGTCACCCCATCGTTTACCGACTATATCACCTCGGAGTGCTGTAATCTCTTGAAGGTCCCATAAATGGCCACGTAGTAATCTAACATCATCGGATATATCTTCGACCCTCCCTACTAACTCGCATCCTAGATAATCGATCTTCTCTACCATCTCTCGACGCAGCACGCCAACCTCCTCAAATATAACTATTATCAGCTCTTGACGCAGCGCGCCGATCTCCTGCACTATAAATCCAGTCAGGTGAGCATACAGATCATCAAAATAATGACTCTGAGGGGGAAGAAGTGATGCCTGCGGCGGAGGTGATGCCCGATCAACTGGATCACGGTCCTACACAAACAACTTTACAAATTATTAACTTAATCAATAATTGCTAACTGATACAAAATAGTAATCAATAATTCACTTACTCAGTCTCGATCGTTGATCGAATCGAACATCTGATCGTCTTAGGTGTGCGGAATGCCTAATTCACGCATAGGACCCTGGGCCTCCCCCTCCATCGACGGTGTCAAATAAGTTATTATTTCAAGCTGACATATTAACATTTCAAATCATTAACAATCATTTAATGAGATTTTAAACTATGTACAATATAAATCACAAATGTATAATACTAACATGAGGGTCGTCGAGGAAAGCCGATAATTGTTTCCAAGTGGGACATCCCTCCGCTCGAGATTCTCACCAATGGTGCATCCGAGAGCAGCGTGTCTTCCCTCACCGCACAAAGCGGTACCCAATGGGGGGACAGTCTCGTATGCCCAGATCTGCAAAATATAAATTACTACATACAAAATTCAATAGAAAAATATTTTAACATTGATTATGTTAATCATTTATCTACACCTCCAGGGGCAATCCGTAGGTGTCGTACTTACGTACGGGCCCCTTGGGCTTCGAGTGCGATCTGGTGAAAACGTGTATGGTGTCCTCGAAATATTTTCGGCCTCATGGATAGTTATTGAAACGATCAATATCGTTGACGATCTCCAGGTGAAAGAGGTCGATCTCAATCTTCTTGTGGTGACACCATACCACGCTCTCAAGGATGTAGACCAGACATAATTTTAGTTTGTCTAACATCTCGTCACACATCCTGATTGCGTCGATCAACTAAGGCAGAACCACCGTCTCCTAGCCGTGGAAGTAAGCGTCCTGCAACTTATTTCTTCTTTGAGTCCCGTCACTTGTTGCGTCATCACTCATAATCTGCAATCCAGTGAGCAGGGCAAACTCGAACATGAAAAAATTGGCGACTTTGCCCCCAATGTCAAAGTGGACGACATCGTCGTCAACTGGATTGAGCAACCGACATAGAAGAGCATCGATGATTTAACCCGAGTACTACAAGTCTCTCAACTGGTACATGAGCCACAAAAAGAACTGACGCAACATATCTGTATATTGATCATCAAGCAGCTCCAGTACAATGGTAAAACTGTCAAAGCTACTGTTCAACGTAACTTTGCCCTCCATCCGTTTCTACTCTACGTCTAGATGATAATCCATCTTGGGAAAATTCAAACAGAGAATATTAGAACATTGTACAAGAGATAATGTAATGAAGCATAATAACCATAAATTAAGCGAATCGAATCATAACTACTATACGCAAGACGCAGATAAATTTTAAAATAAAAATAAAAATTAATAATTATTCAAATTAAATAAAGAAAATGAAATTTTTACCCTATCACAAAAATTAATAATTAGAATTAAAATTAAAATTAAATTGAAAATATAAAATTAAATTTAAAATGGAAATATAAAATTATTCAAATTAAATAAAGATTATGAAATTTTAACCCTATTACCAAAAATTAATAATTAAAATTAAACTATAAAATTATTAAAATTAAATAAAGAATATGAAATTTTTACCCTATTACCAAAAATTAATATTTAAATTTAAATTTAAAACTAAAATAAAAAATTCAAATTCAAATTAAAAAATAAAAGTATTCAAATTTAATAAAGAATATGAAATTTTAACCCTGTTACCAAAAATTAATAATTAAAATTAAACTATAAAATTATTCAAATTAAATAAAGAATATGAAATTTTTACCCTATTACCAAAAATTAATATTTAAATTTAAATTTAAAACTAATATAAAAAATTCACATTCAAATTAAAATATAAAATTATTCAAATTTAATAAAAAAATATGAAATTTTTACCCTATTACCAAAAATTAAAATTAAATTTAAAATTAAAATTAAAATTAAAAGTTAAGATGAAACCATAAAATTATTCAAATTAAAGAATATGAAATTTTTACCCGATTACCAAAAATTAATAATTAAAATAAAAATAAAAATTCGAAGTAAAATTAAAATATAAAATTATTCAAATTAAAGAATATGAAATTTTTATCCTATTACCAAAATTTAATAATTGAAATTAAAATTAAATTTCAAGTTAAAAGATAAAATTATTCAAATTAAATTAAGATTATGAAAATTTTACCCTATTACCAAAAATTAATAATTAAAATTAAAATTAAAATTAGAATTAAAAAATTAAATTGAAAATAAAAAATGAAATGAAAATGACAAAAAAAAGTATTCAAATTAAATAAATAATACAAATTTTTTTACCCTATTACCAAAAATTAATAATTAAAATGAATATAAAATTAAAAAGTAAACTTAAAAATTATTAAAATTAAATAAAGAATATGAAATTTTTATCGTATTACAAAAAATTAATAATTAAAATTAAAATTAAAATTAATATTAAAATAAAAGTTTATTTAAATTTGAAAATGAAAAAATTATTACTTAGTTTAAAATTGGAAAATTAAAAAAGTAACAAAAAAGGTAACAGTCAGCCCACTTAACAGTTATGGGCTGAACAGTCAACCCACGAATGTTAACAGTCTCGGCCCAGACTGTTAAAAACGACTGTTAACAGTCGTTTTGCCGACTGTTGACAGTCGATCGACTATTAGAGGTCTGCTATCAACAGTCGGCCTCTTCCACTCTCCAGATTCCTCCATTTCCGACGAGATGGAGCCTCCCACCAACCAAAACACATCCAACTCTTTACCTATACTCAACATCTACCCTAAATAACACCAACAACACATTGAAAACTCTTAAATTTAACATTCACACCATCAATAATATTCCAAACCATAATCTAATTAAAACTCAACCCAAAGCTAACTTTTAGAAGAAGAAGTTCGCCGGCAACATGTCTCGTCGATGAGTGTTGATGGTTGATGAAAATCGGCGACTGGATCCCAACTATGAGTTTTGGCACAACAAAACAAATGGAAAGTAAGAGATGGAAGGGTATTTTCGGACAACCGTCTTTAAATTCAATTTTCTCTTCTTCTTTTTTTTAATATTAAAATCAGTCAAAGGCCAAAGTGGAAGTAGACATGGGTCATCCTGCCATTTCAAATGATTTCATCAATTTTAGACAGGTCCTCAGGGTAAATTTTGGGTTGAATATTTTAAGAGGCCCCTGTAAATGATGAGGCCCAAGGCGGCTGCCGAGTTAGCCTTGGGCCAGGGCTAACCCTAGAATTCAGTTTACTTGGAAAAAGTGGAATGCTCATGGAAAAATACATGACAATAAAAAAAGAATGAATTTATGATGATAATAGAATGAGATTAAGCACAATTCATAAGCAATAATAGTAATAGTCTTCCAAATCACATCATAGTTTTTGAAATTGGGAAACCTTAAATTGTAAGGGAATGCCACAAAAATTCACGAATAACAATCTAAATTTAGAAAAAGAACAAATAAATTCGAAAAACAGAAAAATAACTAAATTAAAACCCAAAACCCGAAACATCCCAATAATTGAAAATCAAACCAATAAAATTCTAAAGAATCTAGCTCACAAATTAATTGACCAAAAGAAAATCGAAAAGATCAAAAATCCAATTCACTCAATCGAGATTCAGAGCATCATAACAAATCAGCATAACTGATTGAACCCCATATAAAAAACTCAAAAGGGCTTCCAAAAATCAAACTAAAAAGAAAATTACGGACCACAGCATTGTTGTATATCTAATTTTTACCTGAGAAAGCTTATCTAAAACTCGAAGTTTAATCCCTAACATATTTATCCAAAATTTTGAAAGCACAAAAAAATTGTGAGTTTCTGTCAAACCCGTTTATGAATAGTTGTGCTTGAGCTCCTCATCTAATATAAGAAAAATAAGGGAATGAAATGCTCACTTGTAAAGGAGAAAACTGCACGACCAGATGAATACTAGAAGAATTATTTTAGTGTGAACTAGATGATTTCAATTGCTCAATCTTGTACACATATATACAATGAATAAGAAGGATCTAGAATACTATACAAGTTGGCTGAAAGCACCTGCTATGCAACAAAATAACATAATAGAGAAAATGCTATGCAATAGAAAATTGTCCTCAATTTGACGTTTTTACCCTCCATCATCATGCTCCTGATCATTAGCTTGATGCAGCTGATTATGCATTATTTGTGTTCCATATTTCAACACCCCCTCGCAAGATGGAGAGTGGATGTTAACAACTCCCATCTTAATCAAGTGTTGATAAAACTGAGAAGAGTTTAGTGATTTTGTCAAAATCTCAGCAACCTGAGAACTGCTACTAAGATGTTTAGCTATTATGCTTCCTTCCCGAATTTTGTCCCGTATCAAATGACAATCCAGCTCAATGTGTTTAGTTCTTTCATGGAAGATGGGGTTGCCCTCTATGTGGAGAGCAGATTTGTTGTCACAGAATAGGTTAGCAGCCTGTGGGTGTTTGATTTTTAAATCTTGAAACAAGTACCTAAGCCAAGTCAGTTCTTAGCATACATTTGCCATTGCCATATATTTTGCTTCTGTTGAAGACCTAGATATTGTGCTATGTTTCTTTGATTTCCAAGATATCAAGGATCTTCGAAGCATCACGCAATATCCTATTACACTCTTTCGTGTGTCAGGACAGGCTCCCCAGTCTCAATCATTGTAAGCATTGAGCTGTAAATCTAAATCAACGGGAAATAGCAATCCTTGTCCTGGAGCTCTTTTTATGTACTTCAGCACTTTATTAGCAGCACACAGATGGGAAGTGCGAGGGGAAATCATGAATTGGCTTAATAATTATACTGAGTATGAAAGATTTAGTCTGGTAATGGTTAAGTACAACACTCTCCCAACAAGTCTTCTATACATACTGAGATCAAGGAGAAGTTCTCCATCTGTCTTTGAAATTCTAACATTCTGATCCAATGGTATCTTTGTTGGCACACATCCTATTATCCCCTAGTCTGATAATATGTCCAAAGCATAATTTCGTTGGCAAATATGAATTCCTTTAATAGACCTTGCCACTTTTATTCCCAAAAAATATTTCAATGTCCCCAAATCTTTGATCTTGAATCTTCTATCAAGTAGGGCTTTGAGAGAGCTAATGTTGTTCAGATCACTGCTAGCCACAATTACGTCATCTACATAGACGAGAATGGCAATGAAAGAACTCTCAGTACCTTGTAAATAGGCTGTAATCAGCTTTAGATTGTGTGAATCCTTTTTCAATAATGAAGGTTGAAAGCTTGGATTACCATTGTCGGGATGCTTTTTTGAGCCCATACAAGCTCTTCAACAAACTGCATACTTTTGAATTCCCTGAATCAGGATGCCCAGGAGGCATCTCCATGTACACTTCTTCATCCAGATCCCCATGTAGAAAGAAATTATTTACATCAAATTGATGTAAATTCCATCCTCTCACAACTGCAATGGCTAATAAGGTTTTGACTGTCACCATCTTTACTACAGGTGAAAATGTCTCATGATAGTCCAACCCCTCCTGCTATGTATATCATTTTGCCACAAGCCTCGCTTTGTACCTTTCAACACTACCATCAACTTTATACTTTACCTTATATATCCATTTACACCTAATACATTTCTTATTAGGCGGGAGATCTATTACAATCCAAGTGTTATTCATCTCAAGAACAACAATTTCAGCTTTCATGGCTTTACACCTATCAGGTGAGGCTAGTGCTTGTTGATATGTGTTAGGCTCAATGTGTGTGGTTATGTAATTTATGAATGCTTTGTGGTTATTTGATAGTATATGATATGGTAGCATTGAGAGGAAAAGGATTACCTGGGATGCGAAGACCATTTCTCCTGTCCAACTTTTGTGATGGACAAAATGAGGCCTGTTGGCAGATATAGTGCTCAAGGTAAGTGGGAGCTTTTTTAATTTTTGAGGATCTATGTATTGGTTGATGATTGTTCATGGTGTGTCACATGGTTCTTGTTCGAGTTTTTGAAAATTTGGTGAGGAAAATGTTTTTGACTCACGAGGTGAGGGATAGTTTTCATGATCATTTTTTATTACTTCATCAATGGTGTTTGTAGGAGAAAGAATGGTATGGTATTCTATTTCAAATTTGGTGAGTATAGGTAATGATTCTATGTTAGCATTTTCAGATGCACTGCCATCTTTGTAAGGAAAATGGTCTTCATAAAACACTACATTTCTTGAGATAAAAATTCTTTCAGATTCAAGGTCAAGAAGCTTGTATCCTTTTATTCCAAAGGGTATCCCAAAAATATGCACTTCTTGGCTCTTGGCTCAAACTTAGTCCTATGATTGACCAGGGTTCAAGTATAAGCAAGGCATCCAAATACTTTAAGGTGTGAGTAGCTTGGCTTGTGTTTGAATAGAATCTCAAAAGGAGTTTTGTTTTCAAACAAAGGTGAGGGTGTTCTATTTATAAAATATACCGCAGTGAGAATGCAATCATTCTAGTACTCCATGGGGATACCACTTTAGATTTTTAGGGCTCTTTCAACATTAAGAATATGCTGATGTTTTCTTTCAACTAGTGCATTTTGCTGTGGTGTTTCAACACACTTTTTCTGGTGTATGATCTCCTTTTTATGGTAGTATTCTTTCATTTCAAATTCCCATCCATTGTCTGTCCTAATTACCTTTACTTATGACTGGAATTGAGTGTTTATTAAGGCACAAAAACCTTGCAAAGCTGCAGTAGCATCTACTTTAGCTTTAACATATAAACCCAAGTGCACATGCTAAAATCATCAACTATGGATAATAAATATTTAGATTCATCATAACTAGTTTCAATGCAAGAACCCCAAAGGTCACAGTGAATAAGATCAGAAATTTTCTTATATTTGTGATAACTGACTAAAAATGGTAATTTATGCATTTTGGCCATGGGATAGATAGAACAGGTTTCCTTGACAAGCTTAGGACTGCAATTGATATTCAATAGATCTAATCTAGAATGGAATGGATGTCCCAGCCTATAGTACCAGAGATCAAAATCTTTATTGTTGCTAAGAGTGGCTACTGACATAGAGGTTTTGTTTGTAATAAAAGCAAGAGCTTCTGTTAAGACTGAAGGAAAGACTTTGGATCGTAACAGGTGATATAGTCATTGCCTCACTTCACCCATTCCAGTCATTTTCCAATTCAAAAGGTCCTGCACAAAGCATTTTTTCAGGAAAAAATATTAGACAGCATTTGGAGGTTTCTGTCAATTTTCTAGCAAATATTGGATTGAAAGCAAATGATGGAACACAAAGTACATTGTTTAGAATTATCTTCTATGTGATTTTTACAATTCCTGTGTGTGTTACATTAAATGGATCACCGTTTGGAAGGATGACTGAATAGGACACTTTGGCTAGAATATTGCTATAGAATGAGATGCAACAGACCATGTGGTCTATTTCTCTTGTATCTATTATCTATGGTGTGCTATGGTCCTTAATAGGTTTGATGCCATAAGCTAATAGAGAAGATGATATACCAAAAAGGTTGGAAGTTTGTGTCTGCTGGGATTGTGCTAGTTAGGCATTTGCTGTTTTGTAACTGCAGTAGTGCGAAAAGTTGTGCACGTTGCTCCAGAGTGAATGTCACCTGATTCTCATTGTTAACTTCTCCTTGTCCCTGCAAGGAAACTAGGTCTGCACAGGCCTTTCCTTTTCCATACAACTTGTGCTCCGGGGGATATCCATGAATCTTATAGCATTTGTCAATGGAGTGTCCTTTTAGGATTGGCCTTAGTGCATCTTTCTAGTGAATGTCTAGGTATTTTACAGAGAGTACAATAATATTTTCTCTATCCCATCCCATTTTGCACTGCTGCAGTACAGAAGCTTCCTCCAGTTGCAAGTGCCATAGAGTCAGGTATGGAAGTGTCCATTGAGATTTGTCTTCTTTTCTCTTCTTGCTGAATTATAGAATACACCTCGTTTAGAATGGGTAAAGGCTTGATCAGCAGGACTTGTGCCTTGATTGCTTTATACGAGTCATTTAACCCCATTAAAAACTTCATTACCCAATCTCTTTGTTGGTTCTCAATGACAGATTTGAAACCTCCACAAGTGCAGTTGGGAATGGACTCATAATTAATCAATCTATCAAGAAATGTCTTATATTTGGGTAAGTATACACTTACGATGTCATCATTTTGCATTAAGGTAGCAATGGACTATTTTACCTCATAAATCTGTGGGGCATTCTGCTATCCTAACTGATGCTCCAAGTCCAACCGGAGCTCATGAGTCATTTCAGCATAAAGTGTGCGAGGATTAATATCAACAGAAATAGTGTTCTGCAACCAAGCAATTACTATATCATTGCAACGTAACCAGTGTTCGATCAAAAAATTGTTGGAATCTGCTGGCTCACAAATGCTTCCATCAATGAAGCCAAGTTTATTTTTAATTCAAAGTGCTGTCTTCATGGACCTTGCCCAAGCATTATAATTGGTATTGTCAAGGACATGACTGACTGGTATTACACCAGAATGGTCATTTCCCTCAATATGATAGGAACTGCAGGGATGAGTAGGGTCATTAGAATTTGGAATATGATGATTGTTTGGCATTGGGTTGGTGTTGAAATTTTATTCAGTACTTCCATTCGGGTTTGTTGTTTCCTCGATGAGCTTTGATTGTCAGCCATGGCTATGGCTCTGATACCATATAAGAAAAATAAGGGAATGAAATGCTCCTTCGCAAAAGAGAAAACTACATGACCAGATGAGTATTATAAGAATTATTTTACTGTGAACTTCTTGCACATATATATACAATGAATAAGAAGGATCCAGAAGACTATACAAGTTGGCTGAAAGCACTTGCTATACAACAAAATAACATATGGAGAAAATGCTATGCAACAAAAAATGGTCCTCAATTTGATGTTTCTACCCTCCATTATCAGGCTCCTGATCATCAGGTCGATACAGCTGATTATGCATTATTTGGGTTCCATATTTCAACATCTGACGCACTTCTTCTTCATCGTCTTCATCATCTTCAGAGGGATCATCGCCAGAGGTAGGAGAAAACCCAAAACATTTCTGTACTAAAAATAATAAAATAGTTAAGAACCTTATAGAAAAAAAGAGAGAGAGAGAGAGAAATTAAAAATGTAGAAATTTAAGAGTGGAAAGTAACCTTCAGGGTCGACTCCATTTCTGGGTTTAATTTTTTGTCAGCTGATGAGTTCATTAAAATGAAGAACAGTTGAAAAGCTTAAGGTCTTACTATAGCACTCCTGAATTTCTACTGAAAATGCCCCAGAAAGTAGGCAATTCTTTATCTTCTCTATTATCTCCGAGTGCATTGCAAGCTCTCAAGAACGAACATAAAATGAGCAACTTCACTCGTATGAAGAAAGCCACCACAAATCGCAGAGGGAGGAAGAAAATGTGTTGTACTTACCTCTCTTCGAGAAAAAAAATTAGGGTTAATTTGTATTAAAAATCATTGGATGAAAAACAGTTTATTAAACTCCCTTAAGGAGAAAGACAAACTCCATAAAAGGAGAATATAAAGGCACTCCATGAAGGAGGAATCACTCCATGAAAGGAGGAGAAGAAAACTCCATAAAAAGAGAAAATGAAACACTCCATTAAAGGAGGAATAGAAACTCCATAGAAGGAGAAAATGAAACCTCCATAGGAGGGATTGGAAATCCACATTCCAATTGACTAAAAATGCATAATGGCTAAACTAATTAGCTAATTAACAAACTAATCACTAACTAACTAACAACTAAGACAGCTGGACACAACCATTTGGAATCTGATACGTTGAGATGGAAGTCTCTAGAATCTGGTGCACGAATCTGCTGATGTTTGGTGCACGTGTATTCCAACACACCCCCCTCAAGATGGACTAGGAGATCCATCTTGAAGATGAGAGAAATGGAGTGAAACGTGGATGCATCGGCTGATGAGTTTCCTGCAAGCATCATTGCTAATATAATTGTAGTAGAGACGCCACTACCAACATACATAACACCTTATGATGACATGAGCATTGGAAGAGATTTCTAATGGATTCCATTCGTTCTTCAGCTGATTGATGGAAACTTGTCTGCAGAAGACCTTGTTGGACATTTTACCAAACACCTTATGTGCACATCATTTGGATCTTCCACAGCACTAAAAACTTCGGTTCATGTGAACCAAGAGAAAGCATTTCAATAGAAGATATCAACCGCACCAATAATTTTTGCGGCAATACTTCCAAACAAATCAGCACCCGGAGCTGCACAGTCTCTAACCAAATCTGTTATTACAACAGAATTACAAATGCATGCTACACTCTGATTTAACAGCTCGATAATGTTAGAGATCCTGAAGAAAATGAAGAGAAATTTTATTGTTGAAATTGGTAAATTCAGCTCGATCGGCGATACTTCGAAGAAGCATACCATTACTAGTTACACCTTCGAGGAATCACTGTTCTTCAACGTCCTTCAGAAAACCTCTTCGAATTGAATGAGAATGAAGGTAAATCGAAATCCAGTGGACTGAATCTCAATGATCAGTTTCAGAAGAGAGAAAACCACATAGATATGAAAATTCTGGGAATGACACTTCCAGAATTGTGTCGAAATGGAAGAAACCACAGATCTGCTTTCTTTGAGCAGAATACCCGAAAAATGAGATGAATTAAATCTCAGGAAAGCAGCAGCAGGAAGCAAATTCTACTCTGATACCATATTAAAAATCATTGGATGAAAAACAGTTTATTAAACTCCATAAAAGGAGAATATAAAGGCACTCTATTCATTTTAAATGATTAGAACTTCTGCTCATAAAGAAGTTGACTGGCTATGTATCAGAAGATGTTTCTTCTTCAAAATCTCAGATGCAGAAGCCATTGTTTTTACCAGAACTTCTTTTGCATCCATTTCCTTAATCTTCAACATGGATAGTCCATCTTGAGGGGGGTGTATTAGAATCACCAGATTCCTGATCCCAGCCATCTTATTCAACAGATCAGATTCATTCTCCAACCTTCCACACAGATTCAGCCAGCTCTTTCCAGCTGTCATTGTTTAGTTAGTTGTTAGATTAGTTGGTCAATTGTGTCTATAAATACGAGTTAATTGTTTGAATACTCACTGAACTTTAAAGGGCGTCACGTTTCACTCATTGAACTTTACTTTGCACCCAATTACTTACTGAATTTTGGAAGGGCGTCACGTTTCACTCACTGAACTTTACTTTGCACCCAATTACTCACTGAACTTTGTAAACTTGCACTCCATCACTAATCGGGTTAAAGAGTTAATTGTTTGAATACTTACCGAACTTTACAAGACGTCACATTTCACCCACTCAACTTTACTTTGCACCCAATTACTCATTGAATTTTGTAAACTTGCACTCCATCACTCATCGCGTTAAAGAGTTAATTGTTTGAATACTTACCGAACTTTACAAGACGTTACATTTCACCCACTCAACTTTACTTTGCACTCAATTATTCACTGAACTTTGTAAATTTGCACTTCATCACTCACCAGGAACTGTTTGTTCTGTTTGCCTATGTGGATGACGGCTTTAACACGTGGCAGTTAAATTAGACAAACATAACAATGAATTGCCAAATCATATATCCAAAAGGACCCAAACATGCCTCACCGTTTTCAACACATAAATCGCGATTGGAACCCTAATCTCTTAAAATAGGCCGCTTCGAAGGTGAATTTTAGTATATCGCGATTGTTGTTTCTTCTTTTTCGCCTTTACTGGGCATGGCATTTTTGAGCGAAAACGGTGAGGCATGTTTGGGTCCTTTTGGATATATGATTTGGCAATTCATTGTTATGTTTGTCTAATTTAACTGCCACGTGTTAAAGCCGTAATCCACATAGGCAAACAGAACAAACGGTTCCTGGTGAGTGATGAAGTGCAAATTTACAAAGTTCAGTGAGTAATTGGGTGCAAAGTAAAGTTGAATGGATGAAATGTGACGTCTTGTAAAGTTCGGTAAGTATTAAAACAATTAACTCTTTAACTCGATGAGTGATGGAGTGCAAGTTTACAAAGTTCAGTGAGTAATTAGGTGCAAAGTAAAGTTCAGTGAGTGAAACGTGACGCCCTTTAAAGTTCAGTGAGTATTTAAACAATTAACTTCAAAGTTCAGTGAGTAATTGGGTGCAAAGTAAAGTTCAGTGAGTGAAACGTGACGTCCTTTAAAGTTCAGTGAGCATTCAAACAATTAACTCCTATAAATACATACCGTGTATACATTAAATAATCATTGAATTGTAGACTAGTTTCTCTCCAATCCCTCCTTATGGAGGTTTCTTCTCCTCCAACAATGGAGTGACTTTTGTATGGAACTCAGTCTGGTTCCTTTGTATTTTGTTCTTCTCCTTTTATGGAGTATAATGCATTGTTTTCATTCAATGTTTCTAATAATTTGGAAGGCATTGGGTATGGCACTACATTTCAAAAGCCTCTACAGAAAATATCTAACACACGGCAAAAGAGAGAAAGGAAGCATATTTGAGAAACCTAATAAAGAAAATATTGGGCCTAACCAACAGTACAACCCGACTCAAAGTGTTAAACATGAGTGAAATATCCGTACTGTCCTTTTAAAAAAAAAAGAAAATTCCACATATAGCCTCCTAAATGAACGGTTAAATTAAGGGTAAGGTAGGAAAAGAAAATGCTTCTTGAATGAATAGTGCAAGCTGGATTCCCTCTTTTAAAATAGTAGGATTATCCAATTGGATAATAAAATAGCCAATTTCAAACTTGTTGGTAAAAGAATTCTACTTCAAGAATATTTTCACGAGTAGTGGTCAGTTTTTTTCAAATCTTTTTCTTCTTTAAGGGAATCGCTTTTTTTTTTTTTTTTTTTAAATATTTGTCATTTTTATTATATCGATATTTAGGGGTGTTATATGGAGCAAGTCGATTTTCTCGACTCGATTTGTTTGATGTGTCGGCTCGTGCTCAATAAAGTTGGGCTCAACTTTTCCCACTAGCTCTCTCCTTAGTGGAGAGAAACGAGCCGACTTGAGCCACTCATAGGTCGTCTTTTTTTTTTTTTAAACTTAAAAATTGTACTTTTTAATAGCTCGCCCCACTAAACACCCTATCAAAATTTGAGGAAAATAACAAGGTGAATAGAATTTAAAATCATAACATGAAATTTTTTTATTTTTCATTCCTGACCTTTGTGAAATGTAACAGATCTATAGTCGACTTGATTCACAGAGTGACATATCTATATGGAAGCATTCAATTCGTGCAGTATTAGTTGTCTCATAATTGTATTGTAGTTGAAAGGCAGGTCGACAACTACACAATTGATAATGGTTCTTCATTGATGGGAAAACTCTTCAAGTTCGACTATGAGAACGATTTGGCCCCTTGCGTCAATTTGGCTTCCAATGAAGCCTTGCAATTGCAGGTTGTACTGCTCCTAAATTCTCATCTGCTCCAATGTTTTTTAGTATAATATGTTGCCGAAACTTTGATTATCGACAAGTGTTTGGTGGATATTTATTCAGGTCGTTGTCATAGTTATGATCATGGCGTTACTCTGATTTTGCAATGCCCAATGGAAATCTTCTTTCAAAAACTCGAACCATTCTAAGGTTTTCGTAGTCTAATATTTGTCCAGTGCTGACCTATTTTGAAATTCTGCCAGACTCGAGCTTCTTTGGTATGGTAGGAGCGAGGGAATGTTTGCTTGTGTAGAGTAAGTTTTTGGCACCTCGCTAAGTTTGGCCTAAAACTCTCGAAGTTGGCCTAGTCTGATTAGGGCTTGCACAACTTCTTTGAGATCATGAGATTCATTGATATCGTAGCATATCGATATGTGATAGTGATAATATTTGCTTTAATTGAGGCTGGCTGACTTCTTTTCAAGGGTGGAGCTTTTGGAAGATTTTATTGTCCCTTTTACAAGGACACCTTCCAATAAGTTATTCAAAGGGTGATATTCTTGGAACCTTTCATTGTAAAGGCGAGGTTGCTCCACCTATCTTCGTTCATTCTTCCTCTCGAGCATAGGTCTACATTCTAACCTATTTTCTTTTGGACGAGCTACTTCTCTAATCTCCACATTTTTTTTATTTCTAGTTCAATGTGGCTTCTTTTGCTCTTATATATTTTTTAGATTTGCTTTCGAATTCATGGTAGGTTTTTGGTCATTCTTCGTGGATAGACCATCAAAATCTTACTTTAAACCTTAGCTCAGACAAACACAATTTATTTGTTAAATCTATTGAGTTAGCTCTTCAAGGACTCACTTCGTCCTTGCTTAATATTTACTAGGCGATTTTTAGATGTGGTTTTGGCTCTAAAACCCATGAATTAAGCCAAGAAGATCATTGTCAAGTCGTTCTAGGTCCTAACCGACCTCTGTCTTAATTTCTAAATCGCCATGGACTTTGTTCCCAAGGATAAGCGAGAAAGCTCTACGCATTATGTCATCGCTCTCTCCTTGCAACTTCATTCGAGATGTATACGTTTCGAGGTGTCACCCATCCTCTATGGAACAGTCATTGGGAAGGTGCTGGCTCATGGAACATCCCTTTTTGATTGGGTAATGATTATTTTTCTTGAAAATGACAACCTTGTGATCGACTTAATTAAATATATGTTTTCTCATGGCGACCTTATTTTAAGAACCGAGCTGGCTGTAAGGCCACTCACAGATACAAGGGGTTGGATATTTTTTGTTTTTAAATAATGACCCACCCACCTTAACATGTGTCTGGCTTATACAGGCCCTATGAAACATTGGTTTGTACAACCATAATTATTCTTATTTTAAGGCCTCGAGAATCTCGTTACTTACTTTCATAATAATTCTGAAGGAGTCCAGGTAAGTGTTAAGTCAGGTCTCCAACAAATAATATAGATACAACTATATAAATATTAAAAAAATAAGAAAAGTTTATAAGATCTTCGATTTACTTTCAGAAAAAAAAAATAGTTCATAAAATTTTAATTACTAAATGAATTCTTTAAAAAAACAATATTTTAGATTAGGTTACACTTTAACTATTGAACTTATGCTTCTAGTTTTTGTTTAAAAAACAAAATTTCTTTTTAAAAAACTTTTGACCAAACCATAATTCATTGATTGAACTGTTAACCTGATATTTTGGCCAGTTCAAGTAGAATAACAATGCTTCTAACTATTTAGAGTAATGCTATCATCGTTTAGGGTACATTTTCAAATTGTTTTCAGTTTTCAATTTTGCAAAATACTAAAAATGTGTTTGGCATGGTATTTCTAAAATGCATTTTCTAAAATAAGAATAAACTTATAACATAAAATTTAGAACCCATTTTTTTTCGTTATGAGTGTTTTCAGCGAAAATCTTGAAAAACATTGAAAGCATTAAAAAAAAAAAATCTTTTAAATAAAAATTAAAAAATCAAAAACTTTTAAAAATAAAATATAAATTTTTAAGAAAAAATTTGATAAAATTTTGAAAATTAAAAATTAAAAATTTTGAAAAAATTAATTTTTAAATTATAAAAAATAAAAATTTTGAAAAAATAAAATAAAAAATTATAAAAATTAAAAAATTTTGAAAAATTAAAAAAATTCTAGAAAAATAAAAGTTGTAAAAACTAAAAGTAGTTTAAACTCTTAATGATTATTTACATAAAAATTCCACACACACACACACACACATACATACATACATACATACATACATACACACACATATATATATATATATGAACACAGATAAAAATATTCTCAATCCATATTATTAATTTTTATTTTTATTTACTATATTCTAAACTCAATTTATTGTTAATTTTCAGTTTACTAGTGTAGCGAAAAAAAATATTATGACATTCATCAATTTTAAAACATATGTATTGTAATATATTGACATAAAATTGTTTTATATTTAGTAAACAATGAAATTCCAGAGAACAAAATGTCATAAAATAATTTTTCAAATTTTAAACCAAACATGTTTTCTAGTTTTTCTGTTTTAAAAAATAATTTTTCAAAATGAAAAATCAAATGCGTTTTTTAAAAATTTTAAAACAGATCCTCAAAAAAAAAAAAATGAACTCAAAATTAAAAATTGAAATCTGAAATATGAACCAAATGACCTCTTACAGATTGATGATATGACATTATATAAAAATTTAATTGATTTCCTTATCTCTCTCTCTCTCTTCCAATTAGCACTTTTCCATCTTACTCCGTGCATCAATCTGTAAATTATTATGTACAAGTAACAACACTTATTTAATCTTAGTGTGTATTATTAGGGAGTAATATACATTTAAGGTAGTTAGAGTATACAAATTCAAAAATTAACAAACATGTTTTAAATTTTCTAAAATTAGGGCATAATTAAAAATTATTAGTTAAAATATATAATTAAATATTTTATTAATTAAATATATTAAAGTCACAATACTATACAATTTAGGGTCACAATAATAAGATATCACAGTCACAAATCACAATTTTCATAAGTCACAACTTATTTATGAATCATAAATTATCAACTTAATTGATCACGCATTATTTCTCAATCATAAATCAAAATTTTATAGGTTGAAATTTATTCATCGATCAGAAATTGTCAAATTAATAGGTCATGTATTATTTCGCAGTCACAAATTACAAATTTTGGAAGCACACTTTATTTATCGATAACAGATTATCAAATTAATATGTCACGTAATATTTCTCAATCACAAATCACAAATTTTATAATTCACAACCTATTTCACGATCATAAATTATCTAATTAGTTGGTTACAGGTTGTTTCGCGGTCACAAATTAACAAATTAATTGGTTACAACTTATTTATCAATGACAAATTATCATATTAATTGATCACAATTTTTTTCTCGATCACAAATAAACAAATTAATTGGTCACAATTTATTAATCGATCATATATTATCATTAATTGGTCACAATTACCCAGTTAACTAGTCATAAATTTTTACACAAGTCTCACCTATCTAGGGATGTCAATGAGTTAAGCTGAAACTCGAGACTCCTTTACTCGAGCAAAATGGTGCGAACTTTTTTACAGGCCTGAGTCGAGCCAAGCTTTGCTCGGCCAAAAAAATTATGTTCAATCCAAGCTTTTGGTACAGGCCTTTTTGAGCCAAGCCGAGTCGAACAGGCTCTTTCTTTTCTTCTGTAATAATTGCTGCCTTTCCTTTCTATTTTAAAGGGCTTTGATCTCGAGCCGATGAGCCACATGGGCTAGCTCGAAACCAAGCCTCGAGTCTGACTGACTTGAGCTTTTTTCGAGCCTAGCCACGGGTGGTCCAAACCGACATGCTAAATTGACATCCCTACACCTACCCTACCTCGTTGTTGGTACCACCGACGGCACCATCTCATCACTACCAACACAATCGGCAATCAACAACCACTACACCACAACCTCAACCACCTTCACCTCCGCTTTTACCTCTACTACAACTCCAACCACACCCGCACCATCATCACACAACTAGTGATATACCATAATCATCCCAACACCACCACCGCCTGTATCACCCACTGCACTAGAACTAGCAACACCATCGCACACAACAGCACATAGATCACAATAAACCACAAACCACAGTACGCACAAATCAGCACAACACCACCACAAATTTTATAGCCTTTTTTTTTGTCACAAACAGATCACCACTGCGCAGCTATGTGCCACTCATAGCGTCTTCACCACCACAAGTCTTCCTCCCACCACCAGATGTATCTATGCCAGAGCCACTACTTTTTCCTATATTCACACCATCCCAATATTTACATGAACCACCGCCGTGCGAAGTTGCACACAGCAGTGATGAGCATGTGACATTGCACGTAGCGCCATTGTCGTTGTGCAGTGCAGCCGTGGGTATGGGTATAGTGGCTCCGCGCGATGCTATTGGTAGATTATTGGGGTTGCTATGCTTAGTAGGGTGGATATGGTAAAAGTGTGGGTATGATGAATTTATTAGATTATTAGGGTTCGGGATTTAATTAATAGTTTATTTAAGTTTTCAAATTAAAAATAATAATTATAACATGATTTTTGAAAAAAAAAAGGGTTATAATTTGATTTTTGAAAGTGAAAATTAAAATGTATGTGTGAGCATAATTTCGACTTATTCTTAGCACATGTTTGTCAATTGTCATCCATTATTTGGCAAAATAAAGAGTTTTGAATAGTACGTATTGGAGAATGTGTAATTAAAAAATAAATAAACTTTATTTATTTATATGTAAGATATTTTATTGTGTGGATGTGCAACAAACCATTTGAAATTTTAAATGCGTCAAATAGGCCCTTATTGTAATGCATCTTGGCCCTCTTCATCTCCCAGCCAATGATTCCCTCCCCCGTCGCTGCATGTGCGCCACGTGTACATCTACACGTGGCTTGTCTTCATAGGACGACAGATACCAAAGCAATATGGATATTAGTGAGGTACAACTTTTTCATCCAATAAGATTGTCTGTATGGATTTGGCCAATTTCCATTAGTCAAAACTTTCAGTATTGCGCAAAATGCAATGGACATAAATTTCTTCATCCTTTCTTTATTATACATAGAGTTTGCGGGATTTTTCACTTTTCTTCTTTAAATCCTCAATTATTGTGTGCCTTTATATACCTCTAGCTTCTCCGAATGAAGCAGCAGATATATTTGGAGTTACTTTCTGCAGTTGGTTTTGAATCTTCTCTTTACGATTCGATTCAAATATGGCTTTGTCTTCTTTTCTTAACTCTCAATTCTCGTTCAAGGTATGGTTTTTTTACCTGGCGTTC